AAAAAAATATTTAGTTTAATTCAGGGATGTTTTTTCAGATGTTAACCACTACAAAGAACAATTTCGAAATGAAATCCAGCTCAGTGTTCAACTTTGTAATATTTGAACCATTTGAAAAACCTTCAAGTGTTTATTCTGAAAAATTTAGGGCAGCGTTTAGGAAAGTGAAACATTTACTGAATTTAAAAGTAGTCCATTTTTTGAAACTTTCTTTTTGTCATTTCTTAAGTGAGGCATTCATCCAAAAACTCAGGACACTCCAGTGCCCAAGGCCTCCAGCCAAGTTTTTGATTCCAGTGTGGTAGGTGCTGTACAAACAGTGTGAGAAAATAGATAAGGCAGACAAGTAGGTGAGAAATGAAAGCTTTTGCTCAGGCTCTGTAACTTTTGCCCTGTGGAGAGGCAGCAGAAGCAGGAAAGAAATGTGTTATCAGCATCCTGGACAAGTGCCCTGTTCACTGATTACTTCTGCCTCAGTCGAAATGGCCACAGAGCTCAGTGATGCCATTGGGCACTTACAGATGCTGTTTTCTGAGAAGACCTCATAGTCATCAATAAGAGAGGCTCTGCTTGAGGAACAAAAATACATTTTCTGAACTCAATTGCACTATCAGGAAGAAGCGAAGTAACTTGAAGTGTAGAAGTGAAGACACTTTGAGGGATAGATGTCTTTGAATTGCTTAGAGGTTTAGAGCACCCTTTATCCTCCTCAACTGAAAGTTACAGAAATTGAGTTTTATCCTCAAACCAATGTGTTCGTGGTGGTCATGTTGTGTGAATGATGCTAAAGAATTTTTCTCTTCTGCTTTTTGGGATTTGAGATGTGTGGGACAAAGAGATCTGGTGGTGTTGACAAGGGTCAATTTGTTGAAATCCAGATTTCTCAAGAAGGGCTGCAATTTTGGGAACATTGACTTGGGAAGCTGATCGAGGCTCCAGAAAGAGAAACAGAGAGGTGCATTTACTTGCCTCAGAATAGCATGCTACCTAGAGAATCAGTACATGTGTTAATCTGTGGGTTTTCACATGTTTAAAACAAAAATACTCATTCCAGAATGACTCCTCCCCTCTCCCCCTATTGAAACCTGAAAATACGAAAAAACTTCAAGATTCCCAGATGGCAAAATAGCTTTTTTTTCCTTTCTTTCATCAGTGCATGTTGGTAGTTTATCTGCCCTTCTAACTCAGTGATTTTTTCTGTGGATGACACAGTTCTTTTGGTCTTTGAAGAGTAAAGAATTAAGCCCCTCAGTCTCAAATATGAGTGAAGGGAGAGTCCAGACCATTGCAGGGTGGGAGACAGATGCTATCAGAAGTCCTGTACCACTGCTTTGAAGTCAACGTAAGCACCATGTCCAGTCCAAAGCTGTGAACACAGACTGCAAACAGGGCTTCCTTTCTGGATCCCTTTTTTCTGTCAAAGCTCCTCTGTTGTCCTTGTCTTTTATTTCTGCATTCATCTCTGCTACTAGCATATATACTTACCTTGCTTTCCTCCCTTATAGTCAGTTTTCTACGTGATTCCTAAGATCCTTCTGAATCTATGATCCTAGATGATCCTCCTCAATCAGTTTTTGCCACTTTTTCTTGAATATTTCCTCATATCCTGCTGCAGCAAGTCAGAAAGGTTGGTTAGGTCTAAGCTGCTCTCCTTGATGTCCCAGAGTGTAAAACTTCACCCAGTTCTCCCCATACTGAGCTTTGATTTCCCAAAAGATGACCAATCATCTGGACAGCTCCCTCCAAACTTCTTCTCATCTTTCCCCTTCCCCAGACCCTTCTCATCCTGTTCCATAATGACCTCAATTCATCAAGCCCTTTGCTCTTCCCTCTCTCTCCATCATGGTTTCCTTGCTTAGAGGCTCTTCCTCTGCTTCCTGGATGAGCCTGCGTGCTCATCCTTTCTGAAATGCTTGTTCCCTCCTACCACTGAAAAGTGAGAGTGGTTTTTCTTTTCTTCCTTGTCCCCTGAGTTATCCATCCTTTGCACCAGAGCTCTGCTCTGCTCTGTGTGCCTTGCCCTACTCTGCTGTCCACCCTGTCCCATCTGCATGAGAGGCTGAAAGATGTACCTCTATGCCTTGCTTCTCTCAGATTGGGTTCCCAAACCTTCTCTCCCTCTCCCCACTCTGCCTCTCCTGTGGGACATTACTCCAGATCCCCTTTGTTCTGATACCTCCTTTCTATCAGACCATCTGCTTCATCCCAGCTTTTATTATTTCACTTCTTTCTCACGACTTGCTCAGGATCCAGGGCTGCCTCTACTGGACTGGGTCCCTTCTTCCCCACTCCCTGTCCAAGCACCTCTGCTCATCCTCAGCTCCACGCAGCAAAAGCAGGAATTGCTTTGCTCCACAAAAAAGCCAGAGGAGTTATATTAATCTGATAGCTTTTCCTTTTCTCCCAGGCTCCAATTTGCAGCGAGTATTTTTGCTTATCCCCGAAGCTAACAATAAAACTGTATCTCTCTCTCTCTCTCTGTGTGTGTGTGTGACAGAGAGAGAGAGAGTGAGTGTGAGAAGAGGGAGGGAGAGAAAGCAATACAACAGTCTGGCAATGTGAGGCGGCATTGGAGAGCTGCTAGACCAGGGAAGCTGGCTAAGAGACGCAAGCCCCTTACTCCGGGCTCAGTGTGATCCCATTGGTTCCTGAGCTGCTGTTTTAAAGCAAAGAGGAGCTGGAAGGATTGAACTGCACAGCCAGACGCAGACTCTCAGCCAAGTTGTCAGCACGCTGGGAAGAGGAGAGGCGCGCACACACGAGACTGCAGGGTGTCCGCAGCTTGGTGTTCACTTGTTTCCAGAAAGGAAGAAAGGAGAGGGCACAACAAAAGCAGAAGAAAGAAGCCTGATCCAGTTCAGCAGTCCTGAGGGGAATAATGGATGTCACCATATCTCAGTTCATCTTAGAAGAATTTGATGTTAACTGCAGCCTCCTGGATCGTTTACAAGAGACTTTTTTAGAGAGTTCCTCTATCCCTTTCCTGGGCTTTGATGGTAGGAATCATTACCTAGCGCAGGGCTCGGAAAAGCTTTCTAAGTGCGAAGATTCGGTTTGCTTTGTGATGCAGATTGTGTCGCTTTTGTGCTTTCTCAGTTGCTTCTTTTTCCCTTTCTGTCTCCTTTTTTGATGCAAAAGGTCCGTACTGCAATGCCACCACTGATCAGATCGGGACCTGCTGGCCCAGAACCTCTGCAGGGGAACTGGTAGAGAGACCCTGCCCGGAGTTCTTCAATGGGATCAAATACAACACCACGAGTAAGTACAAACTCCTTTCCTTCTCCCACACATCTGGTGGTGAGAAGGCACCTGGGGATACCCAAACTATATTTTCCACTTAAAATTTGTTTTAAGAAAAAAGAAGTGTTTCCCTGGGAATCAACATTTCCTCTACATTCCAGCCTGTATATTCAAAATTCCTGCCTGGAATGATACAGATTTCTCAAAAGCACAAACTTGTGCTTTTCTTTCTCTTTACTTCAGTGCATTTGGGCAGATCTGGGCAAAAATACCCTCTGCAATCTAAGGAGGATATACTGTGCTTTCCGTGTTCGTTCGTGTGTAGATATGCATAGCTGAATTTATTTGCAGCAGTGCTTCAGCCATTTGGATAATTAAAGATCCAGTGGCTCGTGAAGTACTTAAGTCTTAATGCCTACGAACTGAATTTTGAAAGGACACTCCCTTTGAGAGGCTGCCTGTGTGAACAGGGGGACAAACTGGGCTGGAAGTTGTATTTAACAGAAGGTTGAGGTCCGGAGCCTGTTTGGTAACTTCAGCAGCGGTCGGCTTATGAGGCTGGGGTGGCTGTATCATTCCTGCAAGCGAAACAGTAGAGGATATTATGAGGCAAATAATATTCAAAGCGAGGGAGTGTGGGGGCTCCTTAGAAATCTCTTGGAGCTGATGCTTTAGTCTTAGAGGTAAACAATCGTGATGACTCACTAAAAATTTATTATTCAGGCTGTCGGACCCAGGCACTCATTTCCTTTTGCTTATCTGTCAGTACTGTTTGGACCTTTCATTAAGAGCTTTAACATATTAGTTCCAAATATGTGTACCCACTTGTTTGCCACTCATTTTTTCAGACGACTCAGTGTGCTTTCGACTTTGGGGACATTTAATTCCATGTTTCACTCTGAACTGTTGCTCGCATGTTAGTAGTCTAATTTTCAGGTAATGTTAATTTTGTGGGGCTGTTATTCTCAATAAGTCCCATAAAAGAATGGCCCTGTCATCTTAGACCTTATTTTTTAACATGTTGAAAGTGAATTTATTCTTTCCCCAGCTCTGGATGTCAGAAGTTCTGTGTATTTGCTATCCGAAACAAAGCCGTCTTCCAGATTTGTTTGTAGGGACCAGTTTCTGTCACCCTTGACTTTGAGCAGGGTAAGGAGGTCACCTCAGAGAACTTCAAGATCATCCTTAAACCCTGTATTCTCTGACCTGTGTTCTTTGCAATAAAATAGGTGGGAACACGCTCAGGGCTGGGTTATACTGTCTTTGATTATAACAAATAGTCCACTACCTTTACAGTATAAGTTGAGATCAGAAGAAAATTTCTGAGAGTTAAGGCAGCTCAGACAAGAGCAAGTGTATCAGAGTGGACCCTCAAAGAACAGCCATAGGAAAGGTCCCTCAGAGACATACGTCCTTTTTTGTTCATTTACTTTTTTGGTGGAGGACGTCAGTATTTCCACTGTCTTAATTTTGTTTCTCCAAAAGGAGAGAAGGAAGGGAAAAAGAATTGTATTAGCGATGATTCCTTATATATATCAGAAACACAGTGGAGAGAGTTTAAATGCTTTCCCTTTGCACAGAAGAATAAAAAAATCTTGAATAGCTCATTTTGTGTTTATAAACTCTGTTAATGCTTTCAGTAGTTCATCAGTGACCTCATTTAAAGTTCTTCCCTGCTCCTCTCCTTCTCAGTGGTGGTTAGCGCTTGTATTACAGAGCTAATAAATTTTCTTAAATTAAATGCTTTTAGAGCAATGGCAAGTTAATTAAATTAAAGAGCAGACTGATTAAAATACGTTGTTGAAATGCTGAAGCATTATTTTGTCACAGCCCGCGAAAATGAACATTTTTCTCCTTTCAACATAAAATGTGAGTGGTCACGCTGAGAAAACGTGTGTCTACAGGGCTGATTGGTAGTGGATATGGGTGCCCAGATGTGGTAGTGTACATAGCTTGAAATAGAGCACTAAAATGCACTGAAGCCACTGTAGGTGGCTTTCAGTTGATCTTACACTCTTCCATTTGTGCAGCTCCTCCAAGTCATGGCACAGAAGAGGAAAGGAAGGAATATAACAAGATTTGAGTCAGCCTGTAAATTCAGTAGCTTCTTGAGCAATAGTTCTGACAGTTCTGATGATCAAGGCTTGGGAAAGCAGTAGGACAGCAGGTTAATGTTTGAGTACAGAGATGCAGTCTCTTTTGTGATTTGAAAGATGTGGCAATTCGAACATGAAGAACATGTCCAAAGTTTGGGAAGGCCAAATACTGACACGGCCTGACTACTTGAACTTGTATGATTTCGCCAAGTTAGTCTGTGGGCTGGCTAGAGGGCCATTTGTAGTGAGACTCAGTGTTCTAAAAAGCTAATTTGTGCACATCATTCAGATAATAAAATGAGCACAGACAACTGATAAAAAATAGGGAATGGATCTTGCGAATTTCAGAGGTGAATAATGCAGCTGCAAAGCGAAGGTTTGATCTGGAGATGGCTTGGACCAATAAAGATGTCTGCCTAGGACATGTAGTGTAGATTTGTCCTGTTTTGTTTTGCCTTTGGCTGGGGCAAAGGGATTAATGATGGTGTGTAACATTGCGCTGAACTGTTTTTGAGAGCAAAATCAGACAAGTTCAGAAAAAGCACTCTTCAATGCCTCTCTTTTACTAAGGATTTAAGGTCGTAACTCATATATTTATTACACTGTCCTGCGTCCTGTGTTTGTGGTCTGCCACCTTTTAGGAAGTCTAGCATATCTTTAGTTTGGTTTTGTAAGGCTGTGGGTATATTTCTCATTCTAATGCGTATAAACCTTTTGGATCAATTTCAATGATTATTTTTTTAGAAATTAAGATCTCAAAAATTCCCAGTTCCTACCAGTTCCATAAAAGTAGCTCATCAGCTGGAGCAAATGAACCCAGTAGCATTCCCTGTAAACAAAAGCTTTTAGATTGTAAATACTAGAAAATCCAGACTTGGAAGTGGCTGAACTGTATGAAAACCTTTTTCAGACTCGGTCAAGCACAGGACGCTGATCTACGGCAAACCAGGCTGCCCATGTTCTGGTACTCAAGTGGCTATTTCTGTGCCCTGTTGTAATCTCTGTGTTCATAGTGTATGAAATTCAAGACAAAGTGCGACAAATAGTTTGCATCACCACAGATCATCTCATCAGAGGCTTTGGATGGACCTGTTCTCGCTTGGTTTTCATCTTGTCAACTCTCATGCTGTGATTGTTGCTCCATCTAACTCAGAACCCCTGAGTGCTTGGATGGGGATGTTATCAAACCCTGCAATATGCCATCAAAATTTAACAAAAGGCTATTTGAATCAAAAAAACTTAAGAACTGGTGTGTAAAAGGTCCCCTCCTGTTTGTCACTATAGAGTAAACTGTTTGCCTAAAGTACTTCCATTCTAACTGCAAAACATTCCTGTGGTGATTTTGTGCCTGTGTCTGTGTTTCTGCGTGTCTCTTGGGAACTGCTGAGTGACTCAGATAAGTTTCAGCTGGATTCGTAAAGCAAGGTCTGTCAGTCTGTGAGTAGTTTTCATCTCCAACACTTTGTTATTTTGGTGATTCTTTTTCCTTCCTCTTTATTTGGGAAATAAAGTTGTGCTGACGAATCAAGATCTGGTTACCCTGTAGAATGATTTGTGAGTACAGGCAAAATGTTATTTGACCAAGGATCTGAAAATGATGCTATCTACTTACTACTCTGCAATTTTGCAGCAGAGCTTATATATTATTCTCAAAGAAAAAAAAAGAAAGAGAAAATATATGTATTGGTGCAGTGTACGGCTGTGCACTTGTCTCTGCTCAGGATCTATATTTAGCTAAAGATGACAATATCATTGCTGCCCTCTAGATGTGTTTATGCTTTGACAGCGTGAAGCTTTTATTCTTGTTTTAGGAAACAGATTAATTCACTTATTAGGATATCCTGAAGCTTGATTAATTCAGCAAATGGGCAGTAATGAGACTCTTTTTGCTGCCTGCAAAAAAAGTGGTCATGCATGCAAGTACTTACAGCTTGTTACAGGCTAAAGTACATCTACTTTAGCTCTTTTGCTACAAATTCCCCTGTGCAATGGGGAAATCCAGGATTAGATGTTCATCTGATGGACAGTAAGTGTTGATCCTTGTAGCCGTAGCTCTGATTCGAGTTTGTCCACAGCAGCCAGTGCAATGGGGAGGTATTCTATGGTAAGACCTGTCCATCGGGGCTGGTCAGCTTGGTGTGTGCTGCTTGCAGGCAGGAGGTAGAAGCATTGGAAAGCCTTCAGCTTGCAGATTAAGACCCACAAATCTAGGTTACTTCCAAGTAGGTATCAACATCTTTTAAGTATCTAAGCTGTATTATAAGTTAGTGGATCTTTAATTGATACAGGGGATGAAGCCTAGAGAGTTACTCGGCTCATTCTAAATGTACAGATCAGTTCAGCAGCCCATGCAGAAGTGCTGGTGCCACTTGACATGTCCTGGTATCTAGTTCCTGTTTCAGAGGTCCAGGCCTTGTGTAGGTTTGTGTTTTATCTTCCAAGCTGCATAGGTGTTGCAGATACTTTAGGACAAATGATACAATGCCTGTGTTTAGGCAGCTGAATTAATCTCTGGGTGTCTGTTGAGTTGAACTGAACCCACACCTGGGGATTGTCATTAGGAGGTCAGACTGCTTTTGTGATCAACAGGATCAAAAGGTCTCCATAGCTCAAACTCCCTCTCTGCAAATCCTCCTCTCTCTCTCTCTCAGAGTACAGGAAAGCTCTTTGACTGAGATAGCCACTTCAGATGAGTGTTTTGGGTATTGCAAACAGCATCCTCATCTTCTCCAGGGACTATGCTGCTGGAAACAGGCACATAAGCACTGCTAACCTTGCACTGATGGGACTTTGGTCCCTCATTGCCTACTCCTTGTTCTGAGGGTGTGCACACCACAGTGCACACACCATGTCCAGTGCATTAAGCAAAGCACAGGTACCCATCAACAGAGGTGACTGTCACACTCTGCACCGGTGCGGCTC